ACAGTTTATCCGGCCAGAGTACCTGGAAAGTGTTTGCACAGTTAGACTTTATCGATACAACTAAAGTATGTGAGTCCATAACGTCAAACAAATCACAGTATAACAATCTATATAAAAGGAGTCTCATTATTCACTTGTGAACGGAATACTACCAGGTTGCCCAGGCCAAGGTAGGTGATTTTTTCTCGAGAATTCACAACCGGTGCATATGGCTAGCCAAGGTCTGAACCGCAGGGCAGTGTGAAAACCGCAAGCCATTTTGGGTGCTGTTATCCTCATCATCGTACATCGAGATACAGTTAAGTGAACTATGCCGTGCGATGCCAAGCTCACAATGTACAGAAACCAAGTGAGAAAGTACAAGATGGAGGAAGATTGGACCTAACTGGAGGGCGTAAAAGAAAGTGAACCTCTGTGGTCAACATAGAGTGCAAAACCTAATTGTGTATACACACCGCTCCATGCATTCTTACGTGATAATGAACCAAAAATCGCCACGGATATCGGCTAGTTGTCATATCCCATTTTGTCTCCAACACGCCCTTTGCAGTCTTTTGGACCCCAACCTGGAAGACGCCTATTCTACCCAATCGCTCCGAGCACTTCTTCGCCTCGTTTACACGTCATCCGTTGACATCCATGTGGTTTTCTATAAGCAGGAGTCGCAACTGCTAATAAGGCGCGGTGGACGATAGATGGGCATGCGCAATACGTGCACGGATGACTTCTCATACTATTACAAGCAGGCACATCCAATTCACAAGTACGTGGCTCAAGGTTTACGGCTGTCTTGATTCGGAAACAACCTCGTAGAACACCCGTCAACTTGCCTGCCCTCGAATCGCAGTACGAGTACAAGTTACCCAGAATACGGAACCCGGGTTGACGAAAGAAAAAATCACAAGTTACTTTGCGAATTATGTAAAACCCACCTAATCGTTAGATAGTAAGGTCAGAACACGTACAACCCAAACTTTACAAGTGTGAAGTCCAAGAAATTTATTGTACAAAGTATTAACAAAGCGGGGGAAAATAAACGAAAGACAACGTGACAAAGCTTATAGCTCCTTCTTGGCCTCATACGCAGCCGCTGCTTGTGGGTCGTACTTCGGGAGGTTTTCCATCACAAAATTGTAGAAATCTGAACGTTCGACACATCCCACACATTTAATATCCCATGATCGTAGAATATCACGCAGTTCTTTCACCTTCGCCTTTTCGAAGTCGAAGGTCTTCAGATCTAATGTCTTCTCTGCAACAACAGATTCATAAATTAAATTTCATTCGCACATTCGCATACCATAGCGTAAGTCACATATATCGGTCACCGTTTTCTTCAGATCTTCGCAGACTTTTTCAGCAGGTTTGTGCATAGTGATCGGTAAAACTAAAGCGTTTACAGTTTTTGCAGCAGATTCTTCCAAAAGACCCACATTGTAGCACTGAGCAGGGTTAAAAAATTTTATCACAGCTTACAAAGCTATATTCTCTCCCTTTTCGGTTGAGGCAATATTTTTCCAGAGCGTTCCTGACACTTTCTTGTGATCGATCGCTTGGGGCATTTTCGAGGAACTTGCCAATAAACTTCACACATACTGTAGGAGTTGTAGCTAACTCTAAATATTAAATTACCTTCACAAGAATCTTCCGTGACCTTTCCCAAAGCACCTGACACGAACAGCATCAACAAAAACCGCGAAAGAGGAATCATCCCAACATTGATTAAGCGCGGCGCGTACATGTGTAGGACTCTGAGTGGTTTTCGCGAAGCAGTAAAACAAGTAGGATGACGTGGAATAACAAATGTGAACAATGAAGAGTTTGATCTAAGGCTTCCCATCTTCGAATCGACATTTTGGTTTAAAATAGAGTATATTTCGTAATTTATACGTTTTCAGTGAAATTATCTTCAGACTGACACAATTGAATGGACTGTCTGGGGAACCGACGGTTTCGAGTTGCTCGGGTTTACGGCTCAATATCGGACGGTGTTCCTATGAGAAATTTTCGTTGGCAGTCTGTTGATCTATATACGGGTCTGAAAAGAGAGACAGTCAGAGACGCTACTGGTCTAAGCAAGTGTCTCGAGAGGATAGTCAGCAGACAAACCTGTTCGCAACAGACAACGCGTAGACTTCTGACCCAAGCCCAGCATGAACTCGTTGAGAAATGATTTCTGCATAACCAACCTGCTGGAATTTCTAGACGAAGTGACAAGAAGAATAGACGAAGGTCACCAGGTGGCATTTTGCCATTTAATTTCAGCAAAGCTATCGACTCAGTCATAAGCTGTTGGATCCAAAAACGCAGGCCCTAGGGAATTTATGTAAGGCAAGAGAACGGATACGCAATTGCTCAACTGTGACACATTCAATGCAAGAATTAGAAATTAAACACTAAACAAATTAACAACAAAAAAATGCTATAGTGTTTTTATATCTTTTGCACATTTTCTACGATAACCCGTTACCTTTACTAATAATGTTACCAGAATAACTAGCNACTAGCATCGTTAGTCCCCGGGCAGGACGATATATTGCCCCTCCGGTTTTTCTTCTTTTCCATTTACATCCTCCACGAACATAAAGCAAGCCACGTTCAAGGATCCGGAACACATCCACACTAAGTTACCACTATGTTCCCCCAAGGGATGGTAAAGAGGCAGTAAACTTTTAAAGAAGGCTATGGTAAACCTTACGCGCCTTCCTATCCCTGCTGACCATCTGACCTCCCAGAAACCTTTCCTCGAAATATCCTCTGTCCCTCTAACCTGCGGCCCCCTGAATACAAGCTTATGCAGCGGGAAGGACGATGAGTCTACTCTCACTGCCGACCGAAGCTTCCTTGAACAGACTCCCAGGCTGATTTGTGAGCAAACTAAACCTGTTTGCAGTAACAACAAACAAACTCACAAAACGTTTGTACATAGGAAGTGCACTAAACAGGAAGAGCGGCAACCTGCGAAAAGGGGAATTCTAGGGAGTCCTACGCTTCCCATACATCAAGTTGCTCCTATTCTACGGGCAAATCCCCCTAAACAGCGAGCACACCTCCCAACTCTTCATAGAGGAACTGCAATTCTTCCACAAAACCAGTTCAGTTTCAGTTTGCACAGGACGATGTGTGGCCCGGGCCAATATTGCGTCCAGATTGATGTGTTGTTAACTGTTCTTGTCGCCTCCAACTCTGCGAGTCAATAGGTTTTTTCTGAAAGGTAGAAAGTAAGGTGCAGTATCACGTCCTAGGCAATGGCGCTTAGGAATAATAGATACTCATCATCAGACTGTTTCAGGGAAGGTAGAACACCAAAAGTCATATAATACCCTCTCGAGCATCTTACCACATTTTCAGGTAGACTATTCCAATAAGGTATTACGCGACATGTAAGGAACTTGGATTGAATATCTAGCCTTACGAGACTACGTTGCAGCCTTAAACTATGCCCCCTAATGCCACTTGAGGGGATGAACTGGAACACGTCCTCAAACTTAAGTCCGAAGAGACCGTTCATGATCTTAAATACTTCTGTGAGACCCCCACTGACTCTCCTTCTTGCCAGAGAGAATAGGTTAAGGTCCTTGAGTCTCTGATCGTAGCTCTTACCTCTTTGTTTCACCATCATCCTTTTAACCAGGCGTTGCACTCTTTCTGGACATTCGGTGTCTTTCCGAAAGTAGGGTGCCCATGCCTGAACACAGTATTCCAGGTGAGGCCTAACTATGGCTTTGTACAGAGGGACGAGAACCTCGGGTCTCCTACACGTAATCGTGAAGTGTACACGAAAGAGTTCCCTTCGAGCTATGTTGGCTGCCCTCCGACACTGTTGAGATGGTTTGAAGTCGTAGGGTATAATTACTCCCAGGTCCTTCACATCTCTCTCTTAAGCTGGATTTCATTCTGTATGTCAAGTTCAGCTTCTGCTGTTAGAAGCTGACACTTAGCTGGGTTGAGCGGAAGATCCCACTTTTCGGACCACCGTATAACAGCCTGCAGGTCGTGATATACGTTCGTTCCCGCCACTTTGAAGTCGTCCGCAAACATAAAGCACGGTTTGTTGATTTCCGGTTCATATCATTGACGGACATCGGGAATAGCAGTGGGTCTAGCACAGAACCCTAAGGGACACCACTAGTCATGTTGGCTGGCACCGATAAGTGCATGCCAACCTTGAACTGGAAGGTGCGGTTAGTTATAAAGTAGTACACTCACTTTTTAACTTTCCCCCAATTCCTAAGAATTACATTTTTTGGTCTAACTCCTGATGAGTTACCGAGTCAAAGGCTTTGCTAAAGTCCAGGTAACAGTCCCCGACATGCTGTCTCTCGTCTGAGCGTCGTGTAACTTCATCGAGGAAGGCAAGCAGATTTGATAGATAAGACGTATTCTTAATAAAGCCATGTTGAGCTGGTGTTAGTAGCTCATGCCTTACGAGGTACGCAGCCATATGCTTGTGTACAATCCCTTCTAGGCATTTGCATAGAACCGACGTCGGGCTTACCCCAGATGGACAAAAACACTAATGGTTGTCATGGAAGTTTATTGGTGTAACGTGAAACTTACTATACGTAGGTCAGTATTTCGATGGAATCCAATTTTCCTGGAATGAGAAATTCCCCAGGCAGTCTTAATGTAGTGCCAAAACAAGTTCAGCAGCTTTACACTGGATATCTGACTGTACGCATGTTCTGATACCTAACAGAACAAGAGGTACCGTTTCATACCAAATAAGGCCAGGTGTATCGTAAGGCAATCAAACAAAGTGTTCTGCGATGCCTGGAGGTCAATAACCAAACGACGATAGGACGAAGGTTCAGTCCAGTTTGATTTCTCAGGATGAAATGTAGCTCTTACCAATAGCGCTTCCAGCTCTTTGTGTTGTGGGCGAATGTTCTGTGCATCCTACACTGCGTATTCATTCGTTCAATGGGTTCCTTATTGGTCAAAATAGTTTATAATTGTGAAGATCTTCACAATCAATGCTGTAAAAGAAGACGGAAAGTGGTCTCATCACCTTTTTGGTGACAGACCTTCAGTAGAAGCGTTCCATTAGTGCGTATGCACCATACACGTTATTACATAGGGCAACCCCTCGCGGTGTAGGTCTCCTGGCTTGCATCTGTTTATGTCCGGTGATGCCAGGTGAATCGCCTTATTAGATACTAACCTCCGGGAACGTCTCAGCTCAACAAAAGTCTAGTGCCGCCTTAAACGCTTCAACGCTTGTGCAGTTGGCTACCTCTTCACGTACCGTGTTCCACTTAGGTATGACCCCGTGTGAAAAGAAGTTTGCCCCAATCTGCTGTCGAGCGGAGTTCCTTTGCCGCTTGAAGCTGTGGCCTCTCGTGCAGTGGTTAGAAGCTGGGGTAAATAGATAACGTGGTTTGAGCCCCGCAAGACCTTCCACTATTTTTAAGGTCTCGGTCAGGTTCCTCGCACCCTTCTGCGTTCATACGAGGAGGGACTGAGATCCCTTTGTCTCTCTTCGTAGCTTTTAGCCGTCTTTTCAGCTACCATTTAGGTGGCCAGATGCTGCACCTTCTCTAAGCATATTATGTCTTTCCTATAATACGGCTCCCACGACTGGAAAAAATATTCTAAACGAACAATGGTTCTCTGCCCTGTGTTTTAGTGCATGAGATCTGCTACTGACAGCATGATGGAGATTGCCGTCGGATCGGACCGATATGCAACGGTGGAGAAAGGTGAAGTTTGGCCGAAAAAATTAAAGCATGATCCTACGGACTCTCCTATCGACTGGTTTGTTTCGTTAAACCAACTCAATATGAGTCTGCAGGTCCTTACACAGCAACCCCATGCCCCGTGGTTTTGATCGATGATGGAAGACCTAGCAACGTATGAAACCACTTTTCCCCGTCTAAACCCGATCGCCTTCGCCCAAACAGTGATATCACTCAGAAGTTAGTCGTACTTACATGACTTTATATATGCCTATTTTGCAAAAGGAAATCTCCAAGCACATATACTTAAAAACTCTTTCAAAAACGGAATCCACTCAGGCTTTGTCTCTGTCCACTTCCGCACGATCGAAGTTGACATCATTTACCGTACCGGATACTCGCCGTTTCCATTTCCCGTCCTGGATCGAAATCAATTCTCAATAATATAATTCATTGACATGTATACACATTTTCAATTATTCCAGTTCCTCCTCTGTTAATTTTCTACCCCATACCTACTTGTCTACTGAACTACAATTTGTCAGGAATGTGCAACTTTGCCCACCTTTGATTTCTACAATCCCCAAATGAACCAAATGTTCATTGAGCGTTATGTGGTCCTCTTTGTTTGTCGTGCGTAAACATGATTGCATTCCGTTGTTTTTAACCCCATTAACTCTATCGACTCAAATTCTCCATCATTTATTGTACAAAATGATCATGCGCCCCAGCATGCCTCACGACTTTCGTCGTAGAATATACCA